AGCCCCGGCTTTCTGGCTGGGCCTGTTCTTGGCTGGCCGCCCACGGGCCAGGCCGCGGCTGGACTGTTCCCTAAGGAAAGCTGCACCATGGATTCAACCCCACTGCCTCCCACCGCGTCCGCAGGCCCTGCCGACCCCTCCTCTCCCAGGGCGCCGAGCTCAGCCTCCCATGTGGACCCTCGCACTTGGAGGGACCTGGGTTCCTGAGCCTCTGTCCTCTTACACACACACGTCCGCTCTAGGGCGTGTTAGACCCGAAGCTGGGGGCCAGGTCGCTTTCGTAGCTCTGCCACCCACCTTCAGGGATGATGAAAAATAGCGCACGCGTCTAAATGCATGCCCATGACACAATGAACCCTGGGCTCTCCAGAGGTGCCATCATAAGAGAGAAGGCGGTCTGATAATTGACTACACCTGCCACTTGCAGAGATTACACATACCTGCAGTCCTACGTAATGTGAAGGTCAGAATGTAAATCATCGAGTCTTAAACTATACTGTGTGTTGTAGAATTCAATTTTACTGCGTTTTTGCACTAATATAAGTCTCTTAATAGTGAGACAGTTATTCTGCCTTTGTTTTAAATTATGCATCAGTCGCTGACAACTGATAGGAGCCACTTTTTCTTTTTTTTTTTTGGTAGAGGTTTTTGCTATAGGGCGCCTGCGCTCACCAGAAAGACAGAGAGAGAGAGACAGAGAGACAAAAAATAAATCCTCCCGCAGGGAGGATGGCCACGCTGCAATCCCTTCTTCTCCATTCTCCTCTCGGGATCTTGGTCACGTACACACATGCACCCGGTGTGAGTTTAAGCCACGGGGTCCAGGACTCAAACTGCAGTCGATTACATGGGAGTCCAGTGACATAGCCATTATGCCAACTGCTGGTCCCAGGAGCTACTATTCTAATATTGGTATGGCATTGACTGGTTTTAGACTTAAGTACACTATGTCTCTTTTCAGTTTACTGTCTACAGAAAAATTAAAAATTTTTCCCTCTCTCATATGATAATTACATGAAAAATAGTTTGATATTAGAAGCTCAAAATAGAAAATCACTATAGCATTGTCCTTACTCATTTTTTTTTTAAGTAGAGAGTTTTTGTTCATTTGTTTGCCATAGGGCATGTGTGCATAGGGTGTGTGTGCTTGCCAGAGACAGACAGAGACGGAGACAGATAGGCAAAGTGAGAAATTCCCTCCTCCACAGGGCCATGGCCACATTGCAATCCCTTCTCTTCCATTCTCCTCTCTGGATTTTGGGCATGCATGCACACATGCCCGGTGTGAATTTTATGCCACCAAGTCTGGGACTTGAACCGCAGTCAACTACATGGGAGTCCAGCAATGTAAGCATTACAACATCTGCTGCTGGTCTCTTCCCTTTTTCTTAATTTCAGGAGGGTGCTATGTACTAACCAGAGAGTAACACAGAGGGAGGAGGAAAAAGCATTCCCCCCCAAATGGGGTGAAGCCCTTCTCCTCTAGTTCTCCAGCCTGCTGGGACTTTGGGCACATAAGCACAGGCTCCCAGCAAGTTTTTTAAGCTGCTAGGCCAGGATTGAAATAGCAGTTAGCCATGTGGGATCTGGTTCCCTTAACCATGAGGTCACACAGCTAGCCCTGCTTTTCTGTTTAAACATAAAGATGAAAAGTCCCAAATGCCAAATGAAAATCGTAACTAATAGCCAATCTTTTGTAAAGGTTTTTTTTTTTCCCTTGCAGAAGGCTATAGAGTGCATGAACTCACCAAAGACAGAGAAAGAGAGAGAGAAGGAAAGTGAGAATCAACCCCCCCCCTTCCCAGGGGGAATGGCCAGGCTGTAATCCAAGACCCTCCATTCTCTTCTCAGAATATTGGGCACGTGCACACACACACACACACACACACACACACTGGTGTGATTTTCAAGCCGCCGGGACTGCCACATGAACTTTACTGTTGGTCATGTGGGATTCAGATGCTTTAAACTCCATGCCATCTGCTGGCACAAAAAAGAGTTATTTTTACTCTATGGAGGTTTTTGTTTTCAAAATCTAACTTTAAGCATTAGGAAATTTTTAGTATATAATCGAAAAGTATTTTTTTTTAAAAAAAGTTTATATGTGTACAATAGACTTTTTTTTTTTACAACACAGTAATTCATTCATTTATTTATTAAGGTTTGTGCCATAAGGTGTGTGTGCTTGCCAGAGAGAAACAATGAGAGGGAAAATGAGAAATCATCCCACCCCACCGGCAGGGCTTGCCACGCTGCGATCTCTTCTCCATTTTCCTACTAGGAAATGTACACTCGCATATGTGCCCCGTGTGTTTAAGTCACCAGATCTGGGACTTGAACCAGCGTTGTCACCACTATGCCACCTGCTCTCCCCCACATATACGTTTTTTTAAAAATAAAGTTTAAAATTTCAAGGTAAAATGAAAACAATCTGATCTGTTTAGAACCAGGCCAACATAATACAAAGAATGTGACAAGTCATTTGGCTCTTTTGCTAGTGTAATTATAAATGAATATTTTGAAACTGAGGACAGAGATCTCAGAGTGGATTTCATGAGTCATGGGTCAGCTCCGTACAGCATTTGTTGACTGATATGGACTGCATATTCCACCAGCCCACAAAAACATGCATGGAACAAAACATCTTTGTGTGAAATCTTGCAATAGCATATCAAGGAGCTTCGGATTTCAGCGGCTAGGAAGCTGAGCTGAGATGATGATTGTTTTTGAAATGATGAACTGCATAATGCTGTTTTTGCTTCTCAGTTCTATGTTCTATTTCTCAGGTGTTCTGGCTTATAAAACTGTTCCCTTCAGAGCATATTGTCACCAGTAGTAACCGGGGTTGGCACTGTCAAGGCATTTGTCATATTAAACCCAGGCCTCTTTTATCAAACATGTTAAATTCATGGATGCTCTTTAGGAGAAAGCTCATGAGCTGTGGAGTAAACATGTTAAAAAGTATATGGACTCCAAAACTTACTCTGGAATGTTGGCAAGTTGTTTAACATCTCTGAGCCTCTGTTTTCTCGCCAGTCAGAACTGAATAATGATAATGATAATGATAATGGTAATACAATTACTGCCTTCCTCATAGGGCAGTTGGGAAAATTCTTTAAAACAGGAAAAGCACACAGGACATCTAGCATGCCACAAGACAAAAGCCAACCAGACTTCCGAACAATGTATTTCTTTTTCCTCACCCACCACAAAGGAAAACTGTTCCAACTTTTCAACTTTTTTTTTAGAGAGGTTTTTGCTAGAGGGCGCATGTGCTTGCCAGAAAGACAGAGACAGAGAGACAGAAACCGAGAAATCACCCCCCAGGGGGGATGGTCACGCTGCAATCCCTTCTCCTCCATTCTCCTCTCGGAATCTTGAGCACGCATGCACACGCACCCCAGCGTGAGTTTAAGCCACCCGGTTCGGGACTCGAACCGCAGTCGACTACATGGGAGTCCAGCAGCATAGCCATTACACTAGCTGCTGGTCCCACCAACTTTTCAACTTTTTAAAAGTTGACCGTTTCACAAGCTAAAATGACTTTTACTTGTTAACAGGGCTTAGGGCATACTTTTTAAAGGAATTATTTATTTTATTTTATTATTATTATTTTAATTGCTATAAGGCACATGGAGTCACCAGAGACAGAGAGAGAAGGTAAGTGAGAAAGTGAGCTGCCGAGTTTGGGACTCAAACCATGGTTGGCCATGTGAGAGTCCAACACCTCAACACCATGCCACCTGCTGGCCCAGGGCATCATTGAAACACTCGAAATCCTTCTCTGAAACACACAACTACACAAATATAATGTATATTTATAGGAACATGTCACGTACCAATTATTAAAAGTGATAATGTCTCAGGCTAAGTGTCATGAAGACTTGATTAAGAGTCAAGTGCTGAAGCTCAGCATAGTAATTTACATATTCCAGTGAGATATTATCAGTTCTGTAGTCTAATAAAAGTCAAGAAGTGTCAGCTTAGGATTGTAATTTAAATTCTTTCTAGAGAGACATCACATATAAAGTCCTTACTTTTCTTTTATCACCAGCTTTAGTGTATGATTACGGGGCGCAGGCTCTGTTATGTAAACTTGTTTTATGTCATGCTTCATCCATAACCAAAGTTCTTAAATAAAGGGTTGGGAAAGGAAATAACACGGCCCTTAGCCAGGACAATATTATGCGACTGATCTACCTACTACTTGAACTGAATCCTAACCTTTTCTTGGCTTTAAGTTGTAAGCATATTTCTCTTAACATTTTTTGACTTTGATCAATTAAAACTAAAACTTTTTTTGAAATTAAAAAATGCATTAAAAATACCTATAAATACCTATTTAATGACTGCCATAAGCTATATAGCCCCAGCGAGGGGGCTTTATATAGTATGTTCACTTTACTCACTGAGGTTTACGCCTGAAGTCAGACATGTGTTCATAAATATGCATCTGTTAGCTGTGCTTGCTATTTTTTTTTCTTTTGAAGAGGATTTTGCTAGAGGGCACGTGACCTCGCCAGACAGACAGAGAGAGACAGAGAGACAGAAAGCGAGAAATCACCGCCCAGGGAGGATGGCCACGCCGCAATCCCTTCTCCTCTGTTCTCCTCTTGGGATCTTGGGCACGCACACACACACGTCCAGCATGAGTTTTAAGCCACCAGGTCTGAGACACGAACCGTGGTCGACTACATGGGAGTCCAGCGACATAGCCATTACGCTAACTGCTGGTCCCGAGCTGTGCTTGCTATTGAAGGTCTTTAAATTAATTAAGATATTTAGTGAATCAATAAAATATTTTTTAAAAGGTATGGAAAACAACTGTAGATACCAGAGACAGTGAGGGAGAAGTGGAGGAGTTGGCAGAGAGTGAGAGGAAGGGAATAAGGAGGTGGGGGAAGCAAA